ACCACCTCACCCGTCTAGTTTTTTGTATTTTTTAGTAGAGACGGGGTTTCACTGTGTTAGCCAGGATGGTCTCGATCTCCTGACCTCGTGATCCGCCCATCTCGGCCTCCCGAAGTGCTGGGATTACAGGCTTGAGCCACCGCGCCCAGCCTCCACTTTCTATACTTATTAGTGTTAGTGGTAATATGACAAACTGATTTTGTTTGCAGGGTTAAGTAGCAGATTGACTTCGCATTTGGTGGCCAGCTGTGTACCCTAATTTTTCATCTATTTTCTTAATAAATTTAATTATATTTCATAAACCCTGAGATAACCTGCTAATGATTGTGTACTTTTAATCTATACTTTATTCCACTCAATTTGAACCCCACGTAATAAGTCTTCAAAATTATTTACAGATGGTTGTAAATGAATCAATGACAAAATTTACTACTTGTATAGATAAGACTGATAGCAAGGCCTTTAACTAAGAGTTGCATATTTTATATGCACTTTTAACTTGCTAGGAGCAACTCTTAAAATTACATCTATCATTCTGTCAGAAAGCAATAAGTGCTTTTCATTTTGCTTACTTCTATACGTGTAACCAGATTCACCTTTTTCCTCCCTTGTAAAACAACTATTTTTTTTTCCTTCCCCAAGTATTAATACTTGTCTTCCAACTGAACAATTGCTAAACAGAACTTAGCATTTGCACAGCACATTGATAACTATAGTGCTTAGCACAGACATATGCCCACAATAGGCATCTGATAAATGTTTGTTCCACATGGCATGAATTGTAAGGCAGCTGTTTGAGTCACATACTGTTCATCATATACTACAACTAATTTTATTTAACTAGGAAATTCAGTTTACCAGATTTAATTATTCACCCTCAAGTGTAAATCCAAAAATTTGAAATAAAAAAAATCGATTTACTAATCCTCAGAAAAAGTAAACAAGTTAATCATAGCTGTTACTATACTGTTAATTGATAGAGATTTTTTTAAAATTACTTTCCACTAAATATTATGTACAATTAAGTGAGGGGAAGAAAGTTTAAAAAAATGAAAAGATGTTAGCTAATTCTCATCATTTTCTCCACATTTATCCTTGCAGCTTATTTATTCTTATATTTATTCCTGTTAACTTCTCTAGCTGAAAGAGAATTTTATTATCTGAATGGAGTTCCCTATACCTTATATCCCCATCACAAAATACTAGTGAAAAGCTGGTGTTAATGTAAGATTGTATTTTCATGTCATGCCACATTTCTGCATTTATTTTTTGCTAGCATTAAATTTTTCCTACTTAAATGATGCTACATAAAATACGAGACAATCTGCCAATTACTATGATATTGCTTGCTTATAATATTCAGTTTTCGTTGATAGCTTTAAAGTATATTACACACTTGTCATTTAGCACACTAATAAATAACTATTTTTGAAAGGATACACTGACAAATTCTTAAGTTAATGGATTTAGCCCAACATTTTTAGTCAGTTAAAGAACAATAGCAATGGCAAAAACATTGACAATACAGTTCATGATCCAGTTCTCCCATCTTACGGTACAGGTTCCATCAGATGTGGTATCCCAAAAACAGGAGCTGGCTGTGAAAGCCGTATGCACTCTTCTGGACCACTGCACAGTTCACAGTATATTTATAAGCTTTTCCCGACTTAACCAGATGTGTTAAGGATTATTCCACTATGCTTGCGGTTGGTCCATGGGTTGACGTTGTTGTAATTATAATCTTCACCACCTAAAACCCCACCTGCACACTCTGACAATATTGTGAGCTTCCTCAGCATTGAGGCCAACCTCGCAGTGGCGTTGGTACTCCTCCATGGTAGCGCCGGCTCTCCCTAGGGGCAGAGTGACGCCTGTGCCTGGTATTTTATACATGGTCTTGTTTAACCACACAAGAACCACCCCCAATGACAGTGAAACTTCAAATACTTAAATAACCTGCCCAAGCTCTCATGAGCAGTAAACATAGAAGCAGAATTCTAATCCAAATGGGTTTATTCCCAAAGTCTGGAGTCTTTCTATTACACCATGTAATCCTCAAATGCAGTTTCTTTTTTTCCTTCTTTCTAGTGCAAGAATCTTTGAGCTTCTCACACTCCAAGAAGGCCATCTCCAGAAAGGAGATTGCCTGTAAGGACAGCCTAGAGAATATTTAGGCTTAACCTCACTCCAACTCTCGCCAAAGAGACCCCCAAAGTCTCCTGATTGCTCATTTGACTGCCTTTCACTGGAATTAATTTACCCATTTTCAGCTTTTCTTAATGGTAGTAACAGCAGTCATACTAGCAATAGCTTCTATTTATCGAAGTACTTAGCACTTTGAAAGAAAAGCATTATGAGTTCCTTCCTCAGTCTGGGTTGTCCCAAAAGTCCAACCTGAGACAAGACTTGGGTGCTCACAGCTTTTTGAGAAAAGATCCCAGGTAACACAAGTGAGGAAGTGGGGATGTAAAATAAGGGAGGGGAGAAAAGCCAATAAAGAGTGCATGAATGATCGAGTTGCCACCGTGGGCAGCTGAGCTCAGTCCCACTAGGCACACTGAGTTGTCACGCTGAGGAATAGAGAAGCCAGGGTAAAAACCTGTCTGTCAGTCATTGCGAGACAGTTACCCCTCAAAGGTTAAATCCCTGCCACCTTTGGGCCGCCCTGCAAACTGGCTGCACAGGCTTCCACGGAGGTGGGAGGAAGCCCGGAAACACCGGGAGATTCTCGTGCCTGGGGTGGGAAGCAGTGGAGGTGCAAGGGAGTTTCAGCTGCGGGCAAACTCAGAAGGGCCTTAGGAGACTCAGGAGGGGCATCACAGCATCTGCTACTTTCTCCTTCCACACGGAAGGTTCCAAGCGTAAGTAACTTGCTCACAGCTGGGAGTGTTGGCTCACACCTGTAATCCCAGCACTTTGGGAGGCCAAGGCAGCTGGATCACTTGAGGCCAGGAGTTCAAGACCAGCCTGGCCAACATGGTGAAACTCCATCTCTACTAAAAATACCAAAAAATTTGCCAGGCTTGGTGGCACATGCCTGTAACCCGGGCTACTGGGGAGGCTGAGGCATGAGAATCACTTGAACCCAGGAGCTGGAGGTTGCAGTGAGCTGAGATCACACCACTGCACTCCAGCCTGGGCAACAGAGTGAGACCCTGTTTTCTTTTCTTTCCCAAAAGAAAAAAAAAAAGATATAAGTAACTTACTCAGGCTCGCACAGCCAGTGTGGGAACTAAACCCAGGTCTGTCTGATCAACCCCAAAGCCCTTGCCGTTTTTGCTACCTGAAGCTGCCCTCAAAATCCCTTGTAAGGTGCACCCACCACTGTTTATCCTATCTCCTCTTCACTCTGTCCTCAGGAAAATACCATCCACTGGCAAGTTGGTGCTGACACTCACAACCGATGCCTGTGAGGGGAAGGAAAATTTTGTCCGCTACCTGGAGCATGTCCAGGCTGTCATCACGGTCAACGCGACCAGGAGAGGAGACCTGAACATCAACATGACTTCCCCTATGGGCACCAAGTCCATTTTGCTGAGCCGGCGTCCGAGGGATGACGACTCCAAGGTGGGCTTTGACAAGTGGCCTTTCATGACCACCCACACGTGGGGGGAAGATGCTCGAGGCACCTGGACCCTGGAGCTGGGGTTTGTCGGCAGTGCCCCGCAGAAGGGGGTGCTGAAGGAGTGGACCCTGATGCTGCATGGCACTCAGAGTGCCCCGTACATCGACCAGGTGGTGCGGGATTACCAGTCCAAGCTGGCCATGTCCAAGAAAGAGGAGCTGGAGGAAGAGCTGGACGAAGCCGTGGAGAGAAGCCTGAAAAGCATCCTTAACAAGAACTAGCGCTGCACATCCGCCTTTCCCGCCGCCCTCCCTCCCTGGCTCCGCCTCTGTCCTCGCTCCACGTTTCAGGCAGGCACCTAGCGATTCCATCACCCATACAGGGAATTCCATCTTCTTAATCCGAAGCTTCGCTCACTGTCAATGATTATTTTCATTACAATGGAAACAATCTTTTTTACTCTATGCCCCAAATATAGCGTTCCCAACAACATCCATGTCCTATGTGTGACTCTAAATTCTTTCTGTCATTCAGATGGGTGATATCCTGAAAAAAAAAAAAACAAAAAACAAAAAAACAAAAAAATGGGACAGCTTTCCCCTCAATTTTTTTTTTTTATTTCTGAGAAGAGAAAAGAACCCATTTTAAAAGCCACATACAGTGACTCCAAGAACGATTGTCCATGGTCTCAAATGAGGGGCTGTTATGTAACAAGAAAATCAAAGCTGAGGCCAGAGGGTAAGCGCCACATCTCTGAAAGCACAGGAGACACGGTGCTTTAAATCCTTTGGGGAGCGATGTTTTGAATTTAGTGAGATTTGCCAGGGGTGTAGATTAAGGTGGGGTGATTCAAAAGATGCCATTCATTGACAGCCCTAGTTACTGCATGGGGAAAGAGATCCAGGTAGCATGAGGGCTGGATATTTTACTACCAACGCCAAGATAATTCACTCTACTCAGCCAGCATGGCGAATATAAAACTTACGGAGCGTGGCTGTGCGCTCACCAGCTGCTGCTCTGAGTTATGTTAAATCCGCTAGAGCAGCCCAAATTTTTCTCAGTTTGTATACAGTTCATCCCAGCCCCAATTTTCTGGGGCTCCTCACATCCAAAAGAGAAGAAAAATTAAGACAAGCCTGGCAACACATCTGGTGAAGAGTAGTTTACTAGCTTTTCAAACAAGAATGTCCCGTTTCCTAAGTCACTTCGAGGTTTCTTAATCTGACCTGAGTGAGAGGCGAGAGGAGTATTTTTTTTTTTTTACAGCTTTATATACATAGACGTGGGCTTTGATTTCCAAATAATATAATGGAAGAGAAATCTCATACTCCCCCACAGTTTGATGTCATTAATGTGTTGGGAAAAAGGCCTCTGTCCTGGAAGAGTCATGGGAGGTTAAAGGGGCACGTTTGAAGATGCGAGCGCTATCTTCACATAGGTTTCCGGTTGTATGGAGCCTCTTCTGCCAAGAGAGGACCATGCAATTCATCCCAGAGGAACCTGAGGCCTGAAGGAGGCGAGAGAAGACCTCTGTTAGGAAAGCACACAGTTATCTTCTCGGCAACTAAGCAATCCATGAGACCATTTAACACGCAACCCAAAGGTTACGGTCAATCCCAAAAGTCACCACTTTATTCCCAACTAGACATTATTAGACTAGACCTCAGGTCACTTTGTTTACCTACTCAGAGATTGGCTTCTCATCCCCAGTCCCAGTGCACACCCATTCCCAAGAAATGCTTTGTCTTCAGCCTCTCCAGGTACCATCTCCCTTCCTGTGGGAGCACAGAGCTTAGGCTGGAGCACCTCTCCTTCAAGCCAGCAACACAGAGCACTAGGTTCAATTCCCTGAAGGTGGCCACTTTAAGAGAGAAACCTGAAAACCCCATTTGCTTTCTTTTCTCCCATATTGGCATGGATTTCTGTCTTCTCTAACACCTTGTGACCTTCTCTATATCATGCTTTAAAGTGTAATAATATGATTTTTTAAAAGAAATTTATTACTTGTTGCAAAGGTCTTTTTAAACCAGTTTAGATTTCAAGAAAAAAATAAATGGAAATCATTGAAAATTCATTTCACATTAATGGTCTGAAAATAAACCAAAGGACATTATGTGTGCATGTGTGTATAAGTGCACACAGAAATATATATACATATGTAGACTATATACATGTGTGTATATATGTGTATATATGCATACACTTGTATAAATGTATATACACATATACCTATAATGTGTGTATGTGTATTTATTGAAGAAACAGATGCCATATTCATCTCTAAAATAATATTCAGAGAATATCAAGATGATTCTGGCTGAAGAAAAAGGCCAGTGGAAATTCAGGTGAAAATATTCATCGATTCCCATTGCATCACCTCTGTAATTTTGCAGCTCTCTGTATAAACATTAAATGTCTTATATAGCAGCAAAAATATAAAATAGTTGTCCATATTTTCACAGGTGTGGTGTAATTTATAAAATTAGAAAGCAACATATCAGCTTCTCAAGAGAAATGGCAAGTTTTGATATGAGTATACAATATATAAAAATATATATAGTGCTATATATAAATATTTGGTCTCTATTTCATTTTTTGCATCAGTATTAACACTAAAATATGTCTCACTAGTGATGTTTTTATGATATCCCTGATCCTAACTCAAGAGACAGTTATTTATAGTCATTTATTTTAAAAAATGAAAATAAGTGAATAATGATTAACTAGGTTAACATTGTTGCTCCCTGTGACAAAATTGTATAAGTAAATTTCAAAAGACATGTTGTAAATTAGGAGGCTCAACAATAAAACATTACCTTCCAGAAATTATATCAGATGTGCTATATCATACATGAAAATACTTTCATCCATTCTAGGGACAGATAATTTAAAAATTGCCAAAGAGAGATCTAAAGAGCCTGCTTTAATAAGTATGCATAAAAGACATAATTAGCATATAAATCATGCACAAATTATGATGTACAGCAGTATTTTTCAAACTCTAGTTACATCCATTAGTGGGCTGTAAAATCAATTTAGGAAGTCAGTTTTTAATAAAATAGAATAACTTAGAATACAGTAGGAGAGAAGAAAATCATAGGATAGAATAGAATAGAATAGAATAATCATGCATAATAAGGATAAGTATTGTTTCCTGAAATATTTGTTTCAGATTTGTGTGTGCACACGTGTGTGTGTCTGAGTGTGTGTACTGGATCACAATGTAAAATACATTTTTCATTGTGGGTGATGGTCAAGAATCTTTTAGAAACACTATTCTAAAATATATTAATCAGGCTAGACTAAGTTATGCTGTAGTAACAGACAGTCTCAAAATCTCAGTGGTTTAATACAACAAAGGTTTACTTATCATCCACACAAATTCCAGTGAAGGTTCAGGTGACTCCCCAAGGCCACAGACCTCCATGCAGTGACTCAGGATCCAGGCTGCTTCACCTTATGGTTTGTAATCCTAACACAAGGCTTCTATAATCACCATGCAGAACAGAACCCAAGGAGGACATTCATCCACTCCTCAATGTTTAGCCTGAAGGAGACACATGCATCACTTCTGCCCATTGCCCACTGGCCAGTATTGGACAATAGCCCTGGCTAAATGCAAAGCAACTGGGAAATGTGTGACAACTAAGGGAATATTTGGGGAGCATTAGAGTTTCTACCACAGAGAGTGCTTCACATTCCCTTAAAACATGTTCTTTCTTTCTTTTTTTTTTTTTTTTTGAGATGGAGTCGTGCTCTGTTGCCCAGGCCGGAGTGCAGTGGCGCGATTTCGGCTCACTGCAAGCTCCGCCTCCCAGGTTCACGCCATTCTCCTGCCTCAGCCTCCCCAGTAGCTGGGACTACAGGTGCCCGCCACCACACCCAGCTAATTGTTTGTGTTTTTAGTAGAGACGGGGTTTCACCGTGTTAGCCAGGATGGTCTCGATCTCCTGACCTCGTGATCCACCCACCTCAGCCTCCCAAAGTGCTGGGATTACAGGCGTGAGTCACCGCACCAGGCCAAAACATGTTCTTAAGAACCGATTTAGCGTGGCAATCACTCTTCATGGATGGTACCATGAACATTATTACAAACTGGCTGTACCTTACCCTGTGAGGCTGAAGACTGTTCTAGAAAAAGATCTTAATAGTTATGCATAAAATATTAATATACTATTTATCAAAGTTCATTATAAAAACAATTTATAATTCAGTCCTCTGATATAAAACTTAAACTCAATTATTAAAATCTTATTAGCTGGGCATGGTGGCATGTGCCTGTATACCAGCTACTCAGGAGGCTGAGGTGGGAGGATAGCTTCAGCTTGGGAGGTGGAAGCTGCAGTGAGCTGTGATCACACCACTGCCCTCCAACCTAGGTGACAGAGCAAGACACTGTCCCAAAAATAAATAAATAAATAAACAAACAGAGTCTATTACTGAAAATAGATATTGGCGGATATAAGGTCCAAGGTTTGATCTTGTGATCCTGAGACACTCCCTTTCAACACTTAGGTTTAAAGATTGATTTTCAAAAGATTAAGTTTAAAAAATGATACAAAAAATTCTGATAAAGTTACTACTCTACATCTTCATTACTATCACTTATAAGTTAATGCACGGTTTTCATGTGATCAGCGCATTTGCTTGGAGTGAGTATATGAAAACCACACAGTGTAAGACCTTCAGGACACATAGTATTTTATAGTTAGAGAAAGAAGTGCTGACTTAGGGGAAATGGTGATCTCACAGCTAACGTGTTTAGATGCAAAGAGTCTAATTTGGTAGTAATTTCTAAAAAGCAAAATGCAAAGATAAAGGACAGTGGTTGTGGAAGAGAGTTAGGGGTCGTTAAAACTCTGGCAGTGTGAAATGCCAGAGACAGAATGTCTCCTAGGCTAATGTAGGTGGTTCACTTGTGGCCAGCAGGGTGGTTCTCTGTCTCCAAAGAATGAGTCAAGAGGGTGGGAGGATGGAGGGCACTCAGCACATGGGAGCTTAGATTAAACGAGAGTCAGGGTGACCAAAGCTGGAAGACAGTGTCTGGCAGCATTCAGGGTAGGGAAACATGAAGCCTGACAAAAGGGAGAATTCCTGTCCCTGAAGAGCTGAAGTCTATTGAAGGATACAGGCCAATGCATTGGCAGAGCCACCCCCAGAGACAGTGCATTAAAACAGCACCACTTGCCAATGGTCGCCTTGCAGGCTCACCCACAGCCTCTTCATGCCTTATTCAGCTTCCTAAGAATATTAACACGAGCGTAAACGATACAAGCAACTAGATCTACAGAAAACAACACCCCCTCTTCGCATTGTAAATTAATCAGCTAGTACTTGAGTTTTTTCATTAGTCTCTTGTGCATTTAGTTGAACCCTTTCCTTGGCTTCAGAAAACCCTGATCAAATTTGGTTTCAGATTTATAAGGGACCTGGAATCAAAGCCTGAGAAGCTGGGGTAAATTATCCAAGCCAATGTCCTGGCTTCATGTTTCTCTTAGAACTGAGAGTCGGGTTTGTGAACCTGGGAATAGAATGATCTCAGGTGAGGAATGCACTCGGCCTAAAAAGATGAAGATTCTGTGTTGCTAAATTTTTAATGCTCACCCATGCATGGTTTGGGGTGGGATGGGGTGGGAAGGCAACTAGAAATATCAGCTCACAGAGTTTCAGGTGCCAGAAGAGCCAAATGAGACTGGCAATTCCTTAGGCCTAATGTCACTGTTACTGATTTCCACCCAAGAGGCTTCGGGCCAACCTGCCCTTTCCATCCCAAGACGGGGTGTGCCACCTCACAAAACCCTCAAAGATGTCCCTCTGCATCCGAGAGGACATCCCATGAGCTACTCAAACTGGATGGAGGGAGAAAGCTAAAATGTATCTTTTTCTTTTCTGACACCATGTCCCAGGACCACTGATGGGCCACAGGTGACAGGCAAACTCCTGGTCACAAGGATGCAAGCATGAAGGTAAAGGGGCAGGTATGGCTGGTGAGGGCACCAGCCCAGTGGAGTCATTGACCAGGAATGTATCTTCTGATAAAATAAGTTTCAACTCAAAAACTCTGTTGGTTTGAATACAACATAAGTCAGCGTGGCTTTTTATGTTGCTTGCTTGCTTTTATCCATGCCTGAGAAAATGGAGTCAGGTGTTGTACCAATCAAGATACCAATCATCAGTGTGCCAAATGCCATGTGAGTTTTGGGGTGACATCATTCATCAGCAGCGTCCTAACCTCAAATCTATGTTAGAAACATTTTAGGATAAACTTGAAGATTTTTTTTTTGGTTTATTTTTTGGGATTTTGTTTGTTTGTTTGTTTTTTGAGACAAAGTCTCGCTCTGTCGCCCAGGCTGGAGTGCAGTGGCATGATCTTGGCTCACTGCAACCTCCGCCTCCCAAGTTCAAACGACTCTCCTGCCTCGGCCTCCCCTGGGATTACAGGGGTGTGCAAACATGCCTGGCTAATTTTTTAAATATTTTTAGTAGAGATGGGGTTTCACCATGTTGACCAGGCTGGTGTCGAACTCCTGACCTCAGGTAATCTGCCTGCTTCAGCCTCCCAAAGTGCTGGGACTACAAGCGTGAGCCACCATGCCCAGTCAGATCTTTCTTATAATATAAGCTTCAAGTCAAGGAGAGAACTAAATGGAATTTCCCAACATGAAGGTGGAAGAAAGAGGCAGGTACCAGTGCCTGGTTAGAAGTGTCTTCTGAGATGTTAACTGAATTTTGCGGCAGACTCTGTTGGTGCATCCTCCATATCAGGGAGTCAGTAAACTATAGCCAAACCCAGCACGCGGCCTGCTTTTGTAAATACAATTTTGTTAGCGACAACTGTGCTTGTTTGCTGTTGTATTGTCTGTGGCTAATTTCACGCTACCACAACAGAACTGAGTAGTTACAGCAGAGGCTGTGCGGCCTACAATCTGGCCCTTTACAGAAAAGGTTTGCCAACCTCTGCCCTCTATCTCCTTAACCCACCTGAAGGTCATCTGTAGACAGTTTCCAGGCATGCAAAGGCCATTCTATCTCTCTGCCTAACTGCAGAGATGTGCCAGACCTCGTGTGAAGCAGGCCAGAGCTGCTAGGGCATCAGTGCCTCGGGGCCACCCTCTCCTGAGGAGAAATGGGATGGAGAGCTGGTGGATGGATAGCTCAGCTTCCTCACCTCCTGCCTGGGACAATTTGAAGATATTCTACCCACTCTCTTGAAGGGTCCTCAGTGGGATGGAGCCCCAGCTGACCACAGTGGTGGCCAGCTCATTAATGCTCCCTGCGTGGACACGTCCATTCCCCATCTCATGCCGCCTCCTTCTCCAGTCAGGAGACAGAAACCACACCAGTGGTTTTAACAGAGAGAATTTAATACAAAGCACCATACAATTAGTATAATGAATTGTTACCTAGTCAATTCAAAAAGCAAACACAAGTATCACATGGACCAAAAAGTCCAACATTTGTGGGAGCTGGGGGCTCACACAATGAAAATGCCCTCCTGGCCCAGGCAGGATCCTAAAGCATCCGTGGCACCCCAGCCTACCTCACCCACCCACAGTGCCTGGAGGTGGAGCACAAGGGCACATGTTAGGACCTGAAAGATGGTGAGTTGGACCTGGCAGAGTGAAGCCAGAGGAAACTCAGGTGGAGGTCTGTAGTGGTCCCAATATACAAATCGGTCATCTGACCTGGGTACAGGTGCATGAGGGCAAAAGACTAGAGAAACCACCCAGCAGCTGGTTCACACCAAGGTTTCCCTCGGGACCACCGGCACTCTCTCATGGAAACCCATGCAGATATTTTCTCGTAAAACCAATGCTTACGGGCCTTAGGGAGAAGCCCAGCAGGTGGTATGGGGCTGGTTATGGAATACAAGTGCCTAGTGGGTCTCTTCTAGTCAGCAGAACTTCAAGAAGCAGCTAGCTACCACCTAAGGGGAGAGGTTGGAATTAATACAACTTGAAAGTCTCAGAGGTGGGAGTGTGCTGGGAGCCAGACTAAGGAGGGGCATCAGCAGGCTAGAGCAGGTATCTCTGCAGAGACTGTGATGAGGCTGGTCCTGCAAATGCTGGGAAACTGCAGAACTGGATTCAGCTGCTGCTACAGGAAGGAACTGCCACTACCAGGGTGAAGTCCGTTTGTAACAGAATGTCATAGACTGGGTACCTTATAAACAATACAAATTTATTTCTCACTGTTCTGGAGGCTGGGAGATCCAAGATCAAGGTGCCAACAAGTTCAGTGTCTGGCAAAGGCCCACCTCCTCGTTCATATATGGCACCTCCTCACTCCGAACTCACATGCTAGAAGGGATGAGGGGGTCTCTGGGGTCTCTTTCATAAGGGCACTAATCTGGTTCATGAGGGCTGTGCCCTATGACCTAGTCTCCCAAAGGCCCCACTTCCTAATACCTTCACCTTGGGGTAAGGGCTTCAACATAAGAATTTGCAGGGGACGTAAACATTCAGACCATAGAAGGATTGCTGGGGTGGTGTGGACAAGAGCAGAAAGCAAACAAAAGGGAGTGAGTGCCTTTTCCTTCCTCAAGACTTTCAGTCTTCGCGCAGCTCCCCTCTAACAGCACCTCCCAGGGAGCAGCTGGCTAAGCAGGACCTGGCTGCAGAGTCCCAGCCCCAGCACCACTGGGTAGAGAGGGGCAGGTTTGAAGCAAGAGACAGGAGCTTACTACCCTTCCTTCAACACCACCCTAACCAACCGCCTGCACCCAAGACCTTTCTCAGGGTCTGCTTTGGGGGCAACCCAACTTAATCCAAACCTCCTTATCTGTTGATACCAAATCTTATTAATTAGCAGTTATCTTTGGGATCTTTGGGGTTACAAGCAAAGAAAACCAACTCTAACTAGTGGAAACAAGTAAGCAGTATGTCAAAAACATGTGGTGTAGCCCTCGGGCTTGAAGAACCAGCCAACACCATCCCAGAAAAAAAAGACAGTGATTGGAGCAAGGCTGGGGACCCAGAAACACAGCAAGGACTGGCAGATGACCTTGCCAGAACACCCCCGCCAGGGGGCAAGTGCCAGCACTTGCAGCCTGAGCTACACTGGACTCAGATTTCTAATTTCATTGAGGGTGAATCTGATTGGGCTGGTCTGGGTCACTGGCCCACCCTGAGGCCAGAGGAAGGCAGAATATCTTGATACATTAGGGCTGTATCCAGTGTGGGAGGAGCAGCTACTCAATACAAAATCAGGGCTGTGGCCTGAGGGACGGGGAGGTGGGAGTGGCAGATGTTAACCTGCTGTCTTAAGTTGGGTCCTCCCAGAAGACAACCCTGAGACAAGGAGTGAAGGGCAAGTCATTTATGTGAAAGGAAGCATCTATATATTGAGGAGAAGGAAAGTGAGACAGGAAAAGGAGGAGGCCAATACCGGAGGCACTGATAAGTGCATTTCTTCATAGGCATCTGAGGCTCAAACCCACTTGGGAGCTCCAAGAGACTACGTAGAATATGCCTAAAAGCTCCAAGAGACTACGTAGAATATGCCTAAAAGTTACCCTAACAGCGGAGTGAGAGGGCTGGGGAGAGAGAGACCTGCTCCTCCAGGTCCTGTCCACCCTTGATTGAGGGCTGCTCCCGGGAGCATGAACTCCCCAGGACAACCAATCCGCCCAGTGTATGGACCACGCATGTGCCTGTGGCCACATGAAACTCTAAGGCAGAGTCACATGTGCCTGCCGTGAGAAGCTTGAGTGCAATCACGAACCGGAACAGGGAGAGTTGGGGGATCTGGTGAGACACCCCGGGTGGCGGATACAACAGCAATGATGGGTCCCTGACTCAAGTGCTGGGAAGATGAGTGGGACAGGGGCTACCACGCAGCTGCTGCACGGAGCAGGCAGCTCTGGGAGAGTCTTGCTCCCAACAGACCCGAAGCTGCCTCAGGGAAGAGGAGATGGAGACCCTGCCATGGATGCTGTCAGGAGGCCTGCTCTGACTCCATGTTACTAACAAGAAATTCTTTATGAAGCCAAAGATTTCGTGTGTGTTTTAGAGACCCTGGAGAGAGAGAAAGCCCAGAAATGAACCCATTCTGCAGCTCTACAGGAGAAAACAGAACCAGACTGGGACAGTCGAGTGTCAAGAAAATGAGCAAGTGAGTCACATCCCTGGGACCCCTGCACCTCCAGAGCCCGAGTAGGCCCCAAAGTGTGCACTGCAGCCAGCCCCACATTTCACAGCACGGGCTCAACCTTCAGGCCGAGGTGCATCTGCCAGGAAATGGTGCTTACCTGGTCCCTGCCTCCCACCCTCACCTCACCTCCTTCCATTGTCCCCCTGCAGTCCCCTTTGCATCTCCTTGAATAGGCCAAGTTCACTCCTGCCCCAGGGCCTTTACACTTGCAGCTCTCTCTGCCTGAAATGCTCTACTCTCCGCTCTGTATGTGATGCCCCGTGTTGTCATTCAGGTCCCACGTCACCCCTTCACAGGGTCTTCCCTTACCACCCAATCCAAACTAGACCCCCAGTCATTCTAGCAGGTCACACTAGTTGAGTCCCTTCATGGTACAGTCTCTGACTTTCTCTTCGCTACCTGCTTACATGGCGTTTCCTTCCTCCCCCACTAGAATATCAGATCTGTGAGAGCAGGACCACGTCCCACCCTTCCGTGTTGTCTTGCAGTGACCAGGACCATGCCTGGCACAGAACAGATCCCAATCCATTTTTCTTGACTGATTGAATATAATATAAAAATGACCTTTCTTTCCAAAGCAATACCCCCTGCCTTTTAAAATAATATGAACTGAACACATAGTTCAGAAAATAAAAAGACCCAAGGAGGAAAAGAAAGGCTCTGCAGTGACTGTTAAAGCTAAGGACAATAGACACACAGGCCCAAAGCCCAGTACATCCTGGGCTCCAGCTAATGGTTTCCATCATGCTCCCTTAAGCTTTTAAGTTATAAATATTTCAAAACTCAGTGGCATGGGTTTCCCATTCATCTTTTAGAAAAAACAACAAAAGCCTAATTCTTTCTTGAAATCCAAACCTCAAATGAATTCGGAACAAGATTGTTTAAAGTTTTAAATAGAAAGGAAAGGTGACTCCATTTAGTATTCAATTATTTGTAACCAAGAAATAACAGAATGTAATTTGTGACTCTGTCAATTTCCTCTAATAATGTGTAATTATCTTACCAGATGCTTTTTGTAGGCCGATACTACAACCCATTTAAACACATTTACTCAGTTCACTTAATGTACTTTGGAGAAGCTACACAGGGAGGAGAATTTAAATTGGTGTATTTTTGGACTGTGAGTAGAAAGATAGATACTGGAGGGCAACATAGAAATTTGTGTAAAGATTCTGGTTTTGAGTAATTTCTGCGTTTTAGTATGTGACACAGTAAGTACCTGTGTGTGTGTGTGTTTGTGCACACGCAAGAACATGCACACTCACATGGCCACTGCTATATTATGTTAACTGAGAGCACTGATAAGTCTGAAAAATCACCCCTTAATGGCACAGCACACTGTCAGGCACATAGTACATGTTCAATAAATGCTTGCTGGACTAATTAACTCATTTCTAAACAAGGAACTTACACAGTGACACTTGACTTTGCTTCTTGAAACCTGGGATTGTAATCTCTGAGTGAGAAAATTTTAAGTGTCTCATACCAAGTACATTTGGTACACATATGGTGGCAGATGACATTGGTACCCTGACCATGACCCCTCGACCCTTAGTACTTCCATGTATTTCCAGACCTGACTTCCTAATGCCAGCACCTAGACGTCTTTGCCTGACAGCTTTCTTGGCCCCCAGAGAGCACACCTCCCACTGACTGCCAGGAGCTGGTGTATTAATACCCCAGCTCCCTCAACCCTCAGGGAGGCTGACTCTGAGGCACGTGATCTACGCTGTCTCCCAGAGCTCCTCAGTGGCCCCTGGTGTAAGCTGATTTGGTAACGTGCACCTTATTGGTTCACTTCTCTTCCCTGCCTTCTCCACTGTCCTATTTGTGCATTCATATTCCAATGAAACTTCACATTCTCTGCTTTGGGATCAGCTTCTGGGGGAATCCACGCTAACAGAGATGCCTTTAATAATTTCATCTCTAGGAAAACACTCATCCACATAAGCAAGCATTTGTGCTTGAAGTGGAATGAAGATGAGTCGATGTCATCAACCAGCATGTTTCTGTGTGAAATCAAGAAAATCCAGCATCCAGACTCAGATGCTATCTGAGTCTCTAATGAGACTATGAACCAGGATGAAGAGCATGTCTCTCTCCTAAATGAGGATGGTGTGGTGGCCATTCAACAGAGCATCCTTGTCCTCATGAAGCTGACCCACCTACATTCCCAAGGTCCCTATTAATTAGACAAAGGATGTGCAAGCAAAGAAAACATTTTAATGAAGGCTTCATTGGCAATGCCAGATGGGTCACCTATGGTCTAATCCAAACAGGAACCCTCACCCTTTTATCATTTGCTCTAAAATATCAAAGCATTACCCCTACAGTGGCCCCAAAGACATTTTCTCCCATTAAGCCTGGGCATTTTAAGAGCTCTTCTCTCCTGATTTCTTCTTGTCTGACTTTGTCTTTCCAATCATGGTCTCCACGATCACAGCAGTTTCTTCATATGTCTGAATGCTCTCTGTGGAAATCTTCTCGATAGATTCCACCACTTCTACTGTCTTATAGGCCAAAGCCCTGGGAGGGCCTTTTTCTGGCAGGCTTCTGCCCCTAGTCCCAAGCCCCTTGGCTCCATTCTGATCAGCCACAGGCTTTGGAGGCTGGGGTATAGACGGTTCCTCTGCACCGGGTGTGACCACGGGACAGGGTCTCCCAGTCCCCTCGTCTTGCTCCTCACCCTCACGTTTCTCCTCAGGGACTTCCAGCTCTTTGCCATCTGGCTCAATCTCCTTGTCTGTAGGCTGCTGGTCAATTGGCTGTCCATCTTCTTTCTCCTGCAGACCCACCTGCCCATTCTCTAAAGGGGGCTTAGGTGACTCAGGAGAGGGCTCCAACTGGCCATCATAAAGCACAGAGTCTTCCGCGATGGAAACAGCCACCCCACCTTTGGCTGTGACGGGGTAGACACAGAACCTAGGGTCCACGTAATTGGCATCCCCTGTGACCACCACGTGCCGCTCTTTGGTGTAGAGCTCAGTGGGGGTTTCAGGCTCTTTGGGGCTTTTCACTTTCTCCTTGACCATCCTGTATACTTTCCCAAAGCTTTTGCTTATCTGCCCTCCGTCTGGCACATCCTCTGGAGCCCCTTCTTGTGTCAGGGGACTTACTTCTTTACTTTCTGATTCAAACTTAGATTCACTTTCCTCTTTAAGTACCACCTGTACCAGCTTTGTGTCTTCCAAACCTTTTAATGGTGCATCTTCCAGAGCTCCGTTGGTTTTGTCTTTTGCTATAATCTCCTTTCTCCTTGGAACATTCTTAGGGAGGCCTTTTTGTCTTGGTTTTGCTGCTGTTATATCCTGCAGAGCCCTGGTAAGATCTGGAGAAACACACAGGCAGAAATTCAAGTATAATTGTTATTGAGAGAGAAAGAAAACATGCTGGTTGGAAAACAGGCTAACTCTCTTGGAAACAAATGCTTTTTATACTAGGGTGGGGCTTCCTTCATCTGGAGCAGAAGCAATGGAAGAAAGGCCTTGGCTTTGCTGCTCCATGGCCCAGGCTGAGGTACAGCTGGGCGACTCTGGACAAGTCACTGGATGCCTTTGGGCTTTCAGAGGGAAGGTGCTCCCTGTTCTGACACCCACAGTTCACCACCACATCAGGCAAAACCTACCAAGGCACTCAAGGCCATTGTCCTGACACTCAGTGGGAGCCCTAGCCCCTGTTCCCACTGCAGCCCCACTGAGCTCGCAGCAGACACTTGGATCCATGGAAGCCCATTCCTCAAAGTTATTCTGTCCTCTGACTTCCTCAAAAGAGAGACGACAGAGCTACCTGGGGGCTTCTGACATGCTCAGATGGCCTTGGGTCTGGGAATGGAACCCGTACACGGTGGATCTACCTCATTCCATATTTAGCTCAAGCTAAATAAATGCCACCCAGCTGCGATCAGCCTCCCCTTCCTCCCAGGCCAAGAGAGGAAGCGATGCTATGAAATTCAGAAATGACAGGAATCCCCCGCCCCAAATCCACCCTCCTGCTTCCAGACTAGCTGAAAGGAAAAACTAAAAGTTGGAGAAGACACACAAAACTCTCACCTGGTATAATTTATGAGGCTTCCCGGCTCCACCCACACAGTGAATTTTGAACTTTTTTAGCCCAAAAGTCATCCTCTGCATCCCTTCCCACTGGTAACCACAGGGCAAGACAGACCAAGCACCGACATCAAGCACGGCTGATTCACAACAGAGAGCGAGCCAGGTGAGCCAGCAACAGTAGATGTGGGTCACAAAGCCACAGGTGCAGGGGATGCAGAGAGGGACAGGGCACAGGAAAACTGCTGGGAGCTGGTATGCGAGGAGGAGGTGCTTACAGGACTGCACAGAATCTCAGGGCCCGGTGCCAAAAAAACTCACGAGACCCCTTAATCCAAATTATTAAGAATTTCAGAACAGCATTAGCAGAGCATTCAGCCAAGCTGGGACCCTTCTGAGAGCAAGCCCCAGGCAGGGCTGTGCACCTGCAGACCTGGCCCTGGGCATCCGGCTGCAGGGCCACTCCCCTTCCAACCACGTTGACTCTGGAATGCCACTTCCATAAAGGCCTCTGAGCTGTCTGGAAATAAGGATTTCAAGGCCCTATATGCATGAGCATCCATAGTATCACCTCCTTTCTTCCCAAATGCTGAGCTTGTTCAGAACTGGGAGATTTCAATGTGAGGTGAGGTCTCATAGACCAAATGTTGAAGGCAGATGCCACATTTACCAGCCAAGCTGTTTCTGCCTGGTTTGAGGGAGGGGAGAATGAGCGATGACTGAGCAGCTACTGTGCACTGGACACCATGTTACACGCTTTGGCACAAACCCGTTGATTCAATGTGGGGAGGCAGTGGGATACGATCCGGTGTTCACTTACTGCCGAGGGGAGGGAGCAAGGAGTGAATATTGAGTTGTACTTTTTGCCCAATTAAATGCTTTGTGTTGCAAAAATTATTGCTGTCAAACCATAAAACAAATATGAAAACACAAAATAAATGCCTCACGTTAGGGATGGCATGCCCAAGGTAGCCTAGCCCCTCAGTCGATTTTTCTCCTTATGAACTTCTCAGCTCAATCACTTAGCAAGCCATAGAGGGCAGAGGGTGGGAAGGAGTCCTCCCTCACATAAAAGCATTTAATTTCCAGATGGACCTGAATGTTAAAGTCAGGAAGAGAGCTGCTTGATTGTTTTCAAGACAGAAAAAAACAGAGGCCCAGGGTTGGGGAGCGTTACCTTTCCCACCGGATCCAGTGCTGAGAGAGACTCCATGGCTCTGGGTGAACAGGGGAATGGGAGTTTCAATGAAGGCAGAGCTCAGCCTGTCAGAAAGAACCAGAAAAAACAAGCCAAACAGATGGTCAGGGGCAAGAGCGACTCTCACTAATGTTGAGCAAAAACGAAAAAAAAAAGCTTTCTCTAGACCAAATTGCTCACAAATTAGATACCATTTTAAACAGACAGCCATACACACATTTATACACTGGATGAGGACATAAAGGAGATAATCATTTCTTTGAGCTCAAGAGTCATAAACTGTGAAACATACCTATAAAAAAGTATAAAGTAGGGATTGCTTATAACCTAAAAACGCCACTTCTCCATGAGACAGTGCCTTTTTGATGTTTTTGCCATTTTGTTTTTTTGCCTTTTGATTTGCATTTTTGATTTTTTAAATTAAGAGTGGCCAACTCAGGCTGAAGTATTTAGGGCAAACAGGGTATGATGTCTCCAATTTAAGATATATGTATACACACACACAAACACACACACACACACACACACACATATCATATATAAATAGAGAAAAATGATAACAGCAATTGAAATAAAATATAAACAACTGGTGAATCTGGAGTATTCAGGAGTTCCTTGTTCTATTCTTGTAACATTTCTATCAGTTTAAAATTAGACCAAAATCAGAACTTATAGATAAATAAAAGAGGTATCCAGTCAGCTTTCTGTGAAGCCCTGTCCCAAAACAAAAATGTTTACAAAGTCATTAAAATGCCAATTCCAGACTTATTCTTGCAGATGTGTGCAAAAAGTGTTCACTGTGACATAAATATCATGTGGAATCATGCCAGATACACTGAGCAGCACCGGAGAAAGAAAAATAAAATCCTGCTTCTCCTGCCAGGCATTTGTCTGTGCACAGCCAAGACAGAGCACCCAGGGCGAAGGGAGGAGCTGCTCCTGGTGGGGACCTCAGTTGTGGAGGGCTTCTCTTTTCATTCAATCGAAACCCAGGAATTTAGCAAGACTGGAGTGAAGAATCACAAATTAATTCCCAGCCTGTTCTCCGGGAAAATCACTGTAGCTATGAACATGGACATAGCTGGAGAGAAAGAGAGAATTTCCCAGCTGTCTTAAAGTGAGTAGGGATCGAGTCACAGCTCCATTATGGAGGAGACCAGACAGCCACATAGTGACAGCCACAGACTGACCCAGTAAGGTGCTAAGAATCATGAGGATGGCAGCAGGAGCACCACCAACACCTCTGAGTGCCCTCGAGTGCCAGGCTCTGTGCCAGGTAGCTCACCTGCAGCACCTCATTAAATACTCCTGGGCATCCCACCTGCTGGGACACTTATGTCTCCAGAGGCCTATGAGCAAAACACTGGCTTCTCAGTGAGGCCTTTTCTGACCACCCTACTTAAAATTGCAAGCATTCTCCCATCGCCCCCATCGCCACCGCCCTCCTCCCTGCTAGAACTTCCTCCTCGGCACTGGCGGTACCTTCATCCTCTGTCTCCCCTATTAGTTTTCCAGCACCCATGGGGTCAGGAATTGTTGTGTTTCCTTCCCTGCCACATGCCCACTTTCCTAGAACTGTGCCTGGCACATAATAGACACTCAACAAAGAGTTGTGCAAGGAATAAGTGGCCCGGATGGGGAGGGCACACTCTCACCTGTTGCCTTCAATCTCGATGATACGATGATACCGGTCCAGCTCATTCTTCAGGGTTTGCTGGGCGACCGCCAGCTGCCGGCAGTCGTAAGAAGACTTCTCCAGGACCCGCTCTGTCTCCTCAATCTCCTTGCGCAAGGTCTCAATCTGCTCGTTATAAAGCTGAATCTCATCGTCATAACACTCATGGGCACTTTTAATAGCTTGTTCCAGAGTTGTTGTCTGCAGGCAAGGACACACTGTAAGAAAATCTATCCCCCTCCTCTCCTAAGAGACAGACCTCACCAGGAAAAGGAA